CTGGAAAATGTTCTCTTTGAGGCAGCTATGAGACCATCTAAAACTGAGGCTCTGTGAATGAGAAGCAAAAGAAAACAGATTGAGGGGATGAACACCCAGGAGTCTCTGAGGCTTAATTTTAAAGCAGAGACCATCAGAATGATTTATCAACATGGTCTTTCCCTTTATGTGACATTCTCTCTCCATTCAGAATTACTACAACACTCATGCAACTATTTTATTTTCCTTTTGTTGTTGTGAATACTGCTTTAGCTGTTTGAGATCTCCACTACGAGGTCCATGTGTCAAACAGACATCTAGAACTCAACATGTCCAACACCGAGGTCCTGTAAACCCACTCCACCTGCAGCCTGCCCATCACAGGTGATGGAGGTGCCATCCTTCCAGCTGCTCAGGCCAAAAACACTGCAGTCATCCTTAGGTCCAGACTGACCGTTCTCCCTACTTCCACCTCTGCTCCCCAAGCCTCCATCATCTCTTGCCTGGATGACTGCTCTTACCCCCGAAGAGCCAGCTATGCCTCCTTCTACACTTATTCCCTCCAAAGTCCAATTTCAACTTAGCAGCCTCAGTAATCTTATTAAAATCTTTTATCATTTCCTTCCTCCCAAACTCCTGCAGTGGCTCCTTATTTTTCTCAGAGTAAAATCAAAATCTTTATAATAGACAGAAGGCCATACATGATTTGATCTCTCATTGTCTAACTTCTTATCCTGATACTTTCCTGCTCACACTCCCTCCTACCTTCAAGCCTTTGTTCAAATCTTACATCTTATCCAACTACCTTAGCAGCCCCACTTCCAAAGGCTCTCAAATTCCCACTATTCTGCTCTATTTTTCTTCTTTCCATGAATTTACTGCCTTTTGACATGAATGCCGTTCTTTTCAGAATTTAAGTATTTATTATGTTCATTGTTTATTATCATTATTTATTATCTGTCCCATTCCTGCCACCACCAGTTCCCTGTCTGTCTTGTTCGTTGATGTAATCAGCACCTAGAACAGAGAAAGTGCTCAATATATTTGTCAAATGAATAAAATTATTTGTTCAGCAGCTTATTTTGCAAATTAATAGAAAGCACTTTCTCTGTGCAAGGCTTAGAGTAGGGTGGATACAAAAGGAACAAAACAGGTTTTCTACTCACATATAGCTTATAATCTGGTAAACGCATGAATAACTCTAACACATGTCAAAGGCTCTGAGTCCTCCAGGACTCGGGACTTAATGCCAGAAGAAAGAGCTACAGAACTCAGAGCAAATCAAGTTTGCCTCTGACTGGAATGATTCCCAATGGCTTTGTGGATGGAGTATTTGAAATGGATTTTGAAAGACAAATAATAGGTTGATAAGTAAACACAGAAAAAGAGGTGTTTGAGGATCATAACTCACCTTGGAAGACATGAAATTATGAAATTAACAAAAGAACACTGAAAGGACAGTCATATAGTAATAATTTAATAATTATGTCAATAATATGTTACCATCTTACTAATGTGGCATCATTTATGTGGACCATAAGAACTTTATAGGAGAGAGATAATGATATTCATTTGTCTCAAACGTGTAGGAACAGGATGGCAGTTGAGATAATTTTCCGAGAGCACTGAATGCTGAGCTGAGGAATTAGGCTTCATTTATCTGATAAAGAATCATGTAGGGTTTGGAGCATGGGAGAAAGCAGATGGCATAATCATATCGAAGTTAGGTGAACTCATTTAGGTGAACTCCTGGAATTGATGGCGGTAATTTGTCTTATTAATCTTTCCATCCCTAGGACCCACCATAGCACCTGGCATATTAATCAGTGCTCAAAAAATATTAGTTTATATTTCAACCAATAATTAAGGAGATGGTTAAAAACAAACTGTCAAGTGAGCAAGTCACATTCTGGCCATTGTAGGGAGGATGGATTGCAGGAGGTTAGAAAAGAAGGATGCTAAAGCCCTAAAATAAGGTCACTTGAATGCAAGGAAGGGATGGGTGTAAACATCGCCACGTTGGAAGAACCAACAGGTCTAAGTGGATGTGGGGGCTAAAAGCAGATGAGCGATGAATTCTTTCCCAATACAACCTCAATCTACTCAACTCCCAACATTCCAACTACAGGATTTTTCACAGTGAAATCAAATTTAAAGGTAAATGCCAAGATTCCAATGTGGGGTTAGAAACTAACATCTCATTAAAACAATCAACCATAGACTTTTAAAGCAACAACTTCTGGGTAATATCTGGAAAATTAAGTGAAACTGCAGGCATTCCTCGGTTTATAAATGTCAGGCTTCTGAATGCTTGGTTGTGGCCACACAGAATAAATTCTTGGGAGGCAGCAAGGGCTGTGTGCAAAGCTTCGGCCTTGAGAACCAGCAGGCCTGGGTTTAAGGCCTTCCTCAACCACTCACTAGCTGTGCAGCCCTGCAAAGAAACCTGAAATTTAGTATCTGCAAGTTAACGATAAAAATAGTAGACAGCTAAGTGAGGCCTGAATGAGATCATAGAGATGGCTGGCACAGAGTAGGCGCTTTGTAAATGTTTGTCCCCCTGCTTTTCTTTTCTCATTCTCTGGAATCCACAGAGCCACCCCTACTTCCAACACAGTTCTGGCCAAAACATACTTTTATTTATAATGACTGCTTCACGAAAATTTGTTTTCGTAATCATGCATTCTATTGTCTTTTATTCTGTGCCAGTGTCCAGGCTTCGCTCAGTTTCCTTCCACTTTCCCAGAGCTCAGCTCCAAATATGGTTTCACCAGCAAATTTCCCAAGTATCCTTTTATCCCTTCTCCAGGAAGATTATTAATGAAGATGTAAAATCAGGCTGACATGAGTAACTATGCTTAAGGCAATCCTCCAGACTCTTCTGTTCCACTCAACAGGGATATGGTGTCATTTATCATTAGGTCTCGTTACAGTGTTCTGACCCCTCGGAAAACTCACTTGCCTCCACATCTACAAGAATTAGTCTAGCAAGTGAACGCTCGCGAGTGACTGAATGAAATATCACGGCAGCATAGAACATCCCTTAAGTCACGCTGACCTATCACTCTCTGCTCTCATAAATCTTTGCAATCAAAACAAATTAGTCTGACCTGTTATTTCGAACAAACATTCTCTTTTGTTGTGTGTGGCTCATGCCCAAAAGGAGATAATGGACCAGTTGATAAAAGTCACCAAATCTCATCACCAGTTCAAACACGGTCAGGTGGTGAATGAAGAATAATAATTCCTTGGTGAGGGGAGAAAGGAAGGGCAGCGGATCTATCTAAGATGCTGATAGATGTAATCTATCCCAGATGCTGAAACTCATTCCTCAAAGTCCTGGAGGGAGATCACAGTCTGGTTTGAGACCCCAGAACAGTGGAGGTTTTCTTGAATTTGCTTTATCTTAATGGATCCTAGCCTGTATCCTTCACGGGGATTCTCTGTTCGGATTGGCTGAAGAAGCTGAGCATTGCGTGGGTGGCTGAGTCAGGGCAGGGGGCAGGGCACAATGGTGGGATAGTTCCCAGTCTCTCTCTGGGCTCCATTTAGTCTCCATATTATTCTCCTTGCTTCTTCCCTCTCGTTTTTTGTTTTAATTTTGGGAAAACAAATATAATGTAAAGTTCACCCTCTAAACCAATTTTTTTAAGGATTTTATTTATTTGACAGAGATCACAAGTAGGCAGAGAGGCAGGTAGAGAGAGAGGGGGAAGCAGGCTCCCTGCTGAGCAGAGAGCCTGATGCAGGGCTTGATCCCAGGACCCTGAGATCATGACCTGAGCCGAAGGCAGAGGCTTTAACCCACTGAGCCACCCAGGGACCCCCTTCTTAACCATTTTTAAGTGTATAATTCAATGGTATTAACTACATCACTACCATCCATCTCTCGAACTCTTTTCCTCTTGCAAAACTGAAGCTCTGTACTCATGACATAATCACTCCCTATTCCCGCCCGGCCCCTGGCAACCACTCTTCTGTCTGTATGAATTTGACTACTCTAAGTACCTCAGATATGCCGTCATGCAATACCTTATTTTTAACAAACGCTATCTTCCTGTATTTTGTGTAAGTTTATAGCCCCATCTGAAACAAAATGGAGAATGAATAAATAAATCAGAAAAAAAAAAATAAAAGCAAAAATATTTCCTGGGGACTAGAAGCGTTCGATTCTGTATGCATCAAGTCAGTGGCAAGGTCATAATGCTTGCTAATTCGCATAAAACACAATGGATTGTAAGAAATAGTTGCTATTTAAACAGTTAGCTGATGTGCACACAAGCAGCATATTTAAGACATCAATAAGGTCAAAGGAGAGATGGAACATAGCCGAGGTTCCCACGAGGGAAGGAACGTCAAGATCATTGAACAAGGAAGCAACCGTGGATTGAAACTCGTCCCTAAAAGGCTAAGTGTGAATCTACTGACCACGAAGGTTATTGATAAAGCTGCTTCCATAGCATAGTGGTTCTCAAACTTTAGTCAACATAAAAATTACTCACCACAAACCCACCAAATCAAAACTATCTTGACTGGGACTCAGGAATCTGAATATGTCACCAGCCGCCTGGCTGAACCAGACACAGAATTTTCTCAGTGGTTAGTGCCATGGATCAGAGCTTGTGGGGCCTGCCTCTGTTCAACTGAGTAGTAAAATCTTGAATTATGTTACGCGCACGGACTCGCGGTATCTATTATTACCTATTTTTACCTGTTTCACTTGTTTTCTTCTACATTGAGTGCTGCCTGACTGAGCTACCAAAAATGGGGGCAGGGGCAAGAGAGAATGACCCACCAGGGGAGGGACAGCAAGGACTAGCCCTGCCACTGTCCTCCATTGTCTCACCGTCATTATAAGCCTGCGGTGGTTCTATTTTCTGCTTCTTCTCTCGCCTGCCGCTTTGTCACCAGGGATAGACCGGCTGGAGGGCAAACACTGGCCTCAGGGAAACGGTGTGCGGTGTGAAAGATCAGAATCTGACTTCTCTCTCATTCATGGCTTTGATTTTCTTCTTTTCTAGAATATGTCTGTGCTGGAGAATCACCACTGGCGATCTACGATCGGCATGCTTCGAGAATCAAGGCTTCTTGCTCACTTGCCAGAGGAAGTGACGTAAGTGGTGTAGAGATGAAATGTACTGATGCCCACACCTTAGAGATAAGCCGCCTTCTCTAGGGCACGCTTGAGACCCCAGGGTTAAGGGCACGGAGCCAGCCGGCTGCGCTTCCTGCCTGAGCTCGGTGGTTGCCCCAAGGAGATTCGGCGTCCGTTGCAGCAACCCAGAACCCGAATCTCTCCGTGAGCTTTGAAAGGCCCTTGGATGGTCTCTGACCTAACATCAGGAAGAAGGATAATAAAGAGCTCTCAGCTTTCACATTCTTCAGCATCAATGCTCGGCTTTGTCACATTCCTGTCTCTTATGTTAGCAACAGTGTCCTCCCACGAAGATCCAAATAATAAATATTTATCAAGAGGGAACACAGGAGATCTCCAGCTAGATTTAAGACTAGTTCAATAAAGTTTGTTTTGTAATGGCCGGTCTTAGCAAACACAGAAGTCAGAAATTCTTTCCTGGGATGTCTTTTGTTGAAGTAACTGAATTGGCCCCAGCCATTTTGGGGGCCATTAATTTACCTATGTCTCTTGCATTTTAAACAGAAGGGGAAATACTAGTTTCCTGGTCCACTGTTTGTCCGTCCAGGTATTTAAGCCAAATCCTGAATCCAAGGCCAGTACCTCATTTTCCACATGGTTCTGAGTTAACTCCTGGAACATCATCCAAGGCCACCACTAATTCCGACCTGTTAACTTAAATGTGCAGAGCCCAGGATAGCTAGAGGAGAGTGGATAGACAGATCCATGCACCCATCTTTCTGAGGGGGCCTAACTTAAAGTCAAGCACCGAGTTGCCTCTCTGCAGAACAGGCAGTGTGCTCTGGGCTCCTACATGTATTCCTGGCCTTGTGACACTATCTTGCTGTTTCCTAGCACCCAGAGGAATGTGGCATTTGCAGGAAGAATTTCAGTTCTGATCGCTTTTTACCTCCTGGAATGAAATAAAACCAATCATCATGCAGGGATTTAAAACCTGCTCCTTTTGCTAGAACATTTGCAAAGATCCAAAGAACTAAATGCAAAAGAACTAAAAACTCGAGTAAGAAATCAAGTAAGAAGGAGAAGAAAAGAGGAGGGATATGTCAGGGACAACTAAAGGAAGACGAGAAGGGAGAGAACGAGAGAGAACAGATAGGAAAGAACAAAACTAAAGGAGGAAAGGAGGGAAAGACTCGGGGCCAGACTGTCTCTGTTGTGCCCGCCTTAATCCTGCTGTCTGCTCAGTTACACTCCTTTCCTGAGATACGTCTACTCATCCCTATGGATTCCAGATAAAAATGCCATGTTTGTTATGTCTCTGTGGGATGCCGCATTATAGATCGCTTTTGTAGGAAGAATAAATGTTATGCAATAGTAAGAAAAGGGGTATGGGGACAGGTGCAAGGTTCAAACCATATATGCTATTGCTTGTACCTTCCTGCTCTCCGCCTGGCTGGAGATGACAGATATTTACTTCATAACTAAGCATTCAACTCTGTGTGCTCTAAACACCCTATAAAATAAAGGGATATAAAGTATGACACCGTATACCTAAAACATGGAGGGGTGGGGGGAAGCGGAGGAGTAAAGAATAGTTTCAAACGTAAGCAATCATCAGCTTCATAAAGACTGCTATATGCCAATGTTATAGACAAACTTAAATATATTAAATTTTTGAAGATGAATTTTAAAAAATAGTTATGGATCTTTTCTTCTGTTGATTACCTTCTGTGTGTGAGGTAAAGCTCTGCTTTGCTTGTTTTTCCAAAATATCTCATTTTCCCTCTACCATTTGTCAACTACTATATCGCTTGCCTACTGATTTTTTAATGGTGTCTTAATTACCCATGATTCTTTTTTTAAGTTCCAGTATCTTTCCTAGACTCTTTTGTTCCATTGGTGTATCTCTCATACCATAAAATCAGTCACTGTTATTGTCTTCCTTATTATTACTCTCCTCATGCCCTTTCTCTCTCCATGCAAAGCTGAATGTTTGAGTTGGTTTCCACTCTTTAAAAGCACAACCCAAACTCCTGAGATGCTATCCAGTTTTTTATGTCCCACATAAAGCACGCATTTCTAGCCAATTTTCCGTCTTTAGACCCATGGTTACCACGGGAATGTATAAACTACCACGGCTGTTCACTGTGCAGTCACTGTGCAGTTACCCCCGGTCAGAGAGTCCCCCTGGCCTCAGAGGGACTGGACTCTGGGTAACGAACAGAATCAAAGGGCAATGAGAGTCCAAGCCACCTGTTGGGGGCAGAACCGATCACCCTCCTCCAAAGGATTTGCTGGATGTGTGTGTTTTCTCTTTCCCTTTCTCGGATGCAGACAGGATATTGAACAGCAGCTGGGCTCCTTGATCTTGGCCACAGACATCAACAGGCAGAATGAATTTCTGACCAGACTGAAAACTCACCTCCACAATAAAGACTTAAGACTGGAGGATGCACATGACAGACACTTTATGCTTCAGGTAAGCAACAGCCACCGCGAAGTAAGCCACTGCCTTCCTTGCTGGGTAAAAACACTTCGCGACGTGATCAATCACTTTAGCACCTGTGAGAAGGCGTGTCCCCCATGGGATCAGTTAGAGCCGTGACCGACTTTATGAAAAGCTCTGAGACCCATGAAATTTTTAAGTGTTTTCCAAGCAAGCAAAATCTGGGTTTCATGTCATCAAGTTGATAAGCCCTCACTTTTCCTTACCCTGTAGTGTCCACAAAGTAGCCCTGTGGGGCAACCATACATGGTAAGAACCTACCACGTTTTGTGGCTTGATGTAAAAGTGGCCCCTGTGATAGCTGTGCAACTTAGAAACACTGTTTCTATAGCACAAAACTAGGTTATATTAACTGTAGTATGAACAAAATTGAAACCCAAGTAACCTTCTCTCATGTAAAACCCGTTTCATCAAACCCTGCTTTACTTCCTTTTACTCCTAAATTCATACGCTCACAAACTAGTCTTAAGTGAATGAACTGAATTGTGTCAGGGCGACCCTTTCTGCTTCCTTTCACGGCAAGGAGCCATTTGGAACATGAGAACGAGAGGACAGGTGGACCCCATGAGGGCGGGTCTGAGCTGGTATCCAAACCAGAGCCTTTTCCGGTATTTTCTCTTGTCTTGTTTCCTTCCTTTTGGCACAAAAGGCTGAACGGATGGACCCTGGATTCATTTCCCCAGGGAAATGCAGCTGCACAGAGGAGACTGAACTGGGCAGTGGTTTTGTCCTATGCTTTCCTGCTGCTCTCTGTGGCTGTCCTGAGGGCTCCATCCTTCCTAGGAAATGCCTTCCTCCCAGCTGTAGAACTAGGTTTCCTTCCTTCTTTTCTTTCCAAACTCATCTTCTAGTCCCTGAGTGCCACAAAGATCAAGGTACTGGGTGTTCAAGGCTCCCAGCCAAGTTGGGAGTAGCCGAAAGAATTGGCTGGCACACTTGCATTTCAAAAGCAAGGCTTGCTACGACCAATGAATTCCCAAAGGGCACATCCTGGAGGCGACTTCTGCCCCTCACCAGCTCCAGCGTGGCCTGGCGTCCCCGACAACTGGGAAATAAGGAAACAATCAAATTTTTAACTTTAATATGATCAGGGCATTCCCACATGCCAGCATTGCCAGCGATTCTGTGATGCCAAGGAACAGGGTCAAAACAAACAGATTTTGCTGGTGGCCAGAACACGCTAGCAGGGGCCCAACTTAGCAGTCGGTGGTTAAGGGAGAGAATGGACTTTCCTGAGAATTCAAGGTAACCCTCTTAGAGTCAGCATTATTGACAAGAGCTGGCATCCCAGATCCAGACCAACGTGAGGTAAGCTTTGAATTAGCTTGGGTCGGGGCGCCTGGGTGGCTTAGCAGGTTAAAGCCTCTGCCTTCGGCTCAGGTCATGATCCCAGGGTCCTGGGATGGAGCCCCGCATCGGGCTCTCTGCTCATCAGGGAGCCTGCTTCCTCCTCTCTCTCTCTCTCTGCCTGCCTCTCTGCCTACTTGTGACCTCTGTCTGTCAAATAAATAAATAAAATCTTTAAAAAATAATAACTTAAAAAAAAAAAGAATTAGCTTGGGGCACAACACACTCCAAGGTTTGATAGGCCTTAGCTCCCTGGCTGGATAAGCAAGTCGGGGCTTGCTTGTTATCCACAGACACAGGCACGAGAGCCCACACAGAAGTGAAGTGATCCACGGCGTCTGTTAGTGTGGCCACTGTGAGGATGAGGGCCAAATGATCTCACCCGAGCCTGGCTGGGGCCCCTGCGGCTTCCCCACTCGCGAGAGGTGGGGCGATGGAAGGAGCCAGGCCACCCGCTTTCCTTGGCCTGCCCACCCCAGGCCTCCTCCAGGAAGCTCGTGTCCTTGGACGGTGGCTCTTCTCAAAGCTGTAAAGTGGGGATTCTGAATGAAGGTTTTGTGTGGTGGTGAATAAGTGCTGTTTCCTGAAGAGGCACTCTGTAAATACCGTCTGGGGACCATGAGGCCCCCTGGCGGGTGGGACAGCCCCTTGGGCTTAGGGCGCCTTGGCTGTGGAAAGATCAGCCTCTGACATTCTCTCCCGCCCTGTCGTCTCTCAGATTGCCTTGAAGTGTGCTGACATTTGCAATCCTTGTAGAATCTGGGAGATGAGCAAGCAATGGAGTGAAAGGGTCTGTGAAGAATTCTACAGGCAAGGTTAGTAGTGATCCCACCGCTGAGTTTTTCACCGTCCCTCTTCCTGTTGGGCGTTTAGCCTCATCAAACAAGAAATGGCTAATCTATCGTGACATTTGTTCTTTCATCAACTCCTATTATCCTAGCCTTTCTCTTTGACTCTCCTGCGAACCATTCAGCCCTTTTTTGGAAATAATTTAAAAATAAATAACACTGTCTTACTGTGAAAACAGGTAGTAAAGAGGGGTAATAAAAATGAGCGGAAGTGGGAAATAAATGTGTGTGTGTATTTATATGTCTGTATATGTAATCTTTTTAATGGCTTTCCTCTGTGGATATAAGAATGTGAGGGACAGATTGATTTTTGCTCTGACCTTCATTCTAATGAGCTTAGCACAACCTAAAGGCTAAATGCCATTTGGGGTCAATGTTTTCCACTCGGATGGGACTTAGACTCCTGTTTTCCTTCCCCCCGGCTTTCTTAAATAGAGTTAATAATGAAACAGAGCACAGCTGACCAAGAATTGAGCTCATCTTCTCAAACATACTCAGTGAGAAGAGAAATGGCTTCAAGTTCAGGTATAATTTTTGAGAGATTAACCTTATTCAGAAATAAGGCTATGAATGAGCGAACAGGATCTTGATGCTGGGTGGGATATCAGCCTTTAAACACAGCCTTGTTTCTTCAGGCCTGGTTTCCGTGCTCAGGATGTTTGTTCAGGCACAACAGTGCCCTGATGTTAGTGACAGGATCAGGTTTGAGAGGCTGAGAACAAATAAAGCCTGAAGTGTCCCACATACCAGCTCTGTGGGGAGGTCAAGTAGCAACAGTGAGCCTTTTGGAGAAGCTTTCATCAAAAGATGTGTCAGTGACATCGAGATGGTCCCAAAGACAGAAGACAAAGCAGATGGGACAGGGTTCACGTAGGGCCAGAAGTCTCTGCTCACCATCTCTTTCGCTCAGAGGAAAAGCACTCATGGAGGCCCACAACTCTGTGTGACTTCACTTCAGTTGAGTGTGAGTGGCTAGAAGTCAAAAAATCAGTTCTTGTGGTCTATGATATAAAATCTCCACTGAGAGAAAACAAAAGGAAATATGATGAAATTGGAACAGGAGACTTAGATAAGACAAGTATCTTCTTTACTCTGTGATATGGAAAATACTGAAACATAAGAGAAGGACTAAGATCCTCATGCTTGGAAATCGAATGATTGGGCAGAAAAGAGATTCTACTCTGTCCCTCTTGGTTTTGACTCGGTCGTGTGCTCCAGATGGCACTGATTGCCATTTAACCCTTTCTTTTGCTTATTTTACCTCTTATTTCAATGATGAGCAAGCAACTTGAGGCAGGGGGCCAGGTCACTTGGGCAGATAGTAAGGCCCACGGAGCTGGGGAGTTAGAGTTATTAACTACATGTAGTAAATGGGACCAACCAAGGAAAAGAATCTGTAAGATCTCTTTACCAAAACCCATTGTTGTCCTAACAATATATGCACATGCAATGCTACAAGATAGAACAATCTAGAACATGTGTAACCCTGACCATGAAAGGTGAGCTTCCATTCACTTTGCTCTGGCGTGAATTTGGGTTTCCACAGAATTTGGGTTTCCACAAACAGCTCATAGTCTTAGCCCAAGTATCTTTAATGGCTCACGACGCTGAGCAAAGGAAAACCTCTAAAATCAAGGTTGAGGACTTAGCAGAGAAGGAGGATGACATCCCATGAATTAGGAAAATAGCATTAAATTCTGAGAACAGAAATTAGGATTCTGAACGTCATTCAACTCCTTCCTCTCCATGTTTTAGGGAAGTAGAATCTCTGTCCTGTTGTAACCACCGGCTGATGTCATCTCCATCAACCAAGATTCCCAAAAGTTTTTATTGAACATCTGCTTCCAGCCTTGTTAAACCCTAGCACAACTATTAACTCCTCTATGTACAAAGCCCCACAAAGGGGTTGTGAAGGATACAAAGAAGTATAGTTAAAGGTTCAGAACCTCAAGATAGTATAAAGTGTAGGCAATAGTAGTAGGCAGTAAATTTCCTGGAGTAGCCAAATGATGCAACTTTTCTCTCTGTTCTCTACACTGATTAACAAAGAATCTGAAATGTACAGTGCTTTAGAAGTCTATGCTGAATGAATAAATGATCTAACTGGATGGCATCTCATGGTAGAGGTCACAGGAGAAGATTGGTGCTGAGGACAAAGAATCTGAATTGGATGTGTTGGAGGATGTGTAGTTAGTGTCCTGCATTTTCCAGTAGGAGAGCCATGAAGCATATGTGACTAGTTAAATTTAAAATAATTAAATTAATTAAATTTACATGTTAGTTCCTCTGTTTCATTGATCATATTGCAAAAAGCCACTACGGTGGACAGTGCAGAGGACATTTCCATCATTGCAGAAAGTCCTGTTGGATGCTGCGGCTCTGGCTAGGCAGGTGTAGACATGAAGAAAAGCACTGAAACGGGGACCTGCTTCATATAGCAACCTGGACTCATAGAAAGCAAGAATGTGGGGATTAACCAGGCTCAAGTAGAGAACATGACAAAGAGAGTCATCTTAAAAAGTGCAATGGAGGCAACATATGTAATTGAAGTAGAAGAAATACTGAAGGAAGAAAACCAACCAAGAAGCAAACACTAAAAGTGAGTTATTAGTAAGCCAGAATAGAGACAGGCAGAGTGTGAATAGGGGAAAAAAAGATATTCTGAGAGAGGAATAAATAGGATTTGATGCCTCAATATGGAGGGTGATGGGAAGGGAGAAATCAAAGACAATTCCTCCAAAGTGTCAAGCTGACTGAAAAATCATGATGAATAGAATTATGAAGGTAAGGAGTAGAAGTCGTTTTAATATTAAATGATGTCATGCCCTATGCTCAAAAAGCTATTATCATCTGGCTTCCCCGGATTCCTCAGGTTAATCCAGACTGATTTCCTTACCTCGGTCTTGAGAATAACCAGGGCCCAAGGGACCACAGGACTCATGGTTACAAGGCTTAAAACAAATGACAGAGGTGTGGCATCTCTGAGACCCTAGCTCAGCTGTTAAGTGCAGATAGTTGGAGCCAGACTTTTAGGTTGGCACCTAGGGTCCCCCATTTACTAGTAGTGTGACAACTTGAGTCAAAATACTTCCCCTCATCTCAGTTTCTTCATCGGTAAAATGGGTACTATAATGAAGTTGTTATGAGGATGAAATTAATTAACGTATGTAAAATGTTTAGAATAGTGCCTGACACACATGAAGCATGATATTAATGTTGTATTTAGATCTCCTCTGTGAATGCAGCTAATGTTTCTAAAGAACAGCTTCTTTACTGATTAACCAGACTCTTTTTCTCAGTGCAAAGTTGACCCATAATCTTTCACCCCCCAAAGGATTGATAAAGTATTCTGATGAAGCTTTAGATGGTACACTTGGCCTTTGGCCTTCTAGCTGACAAAAGCATTAAAAAGAAATATTTTTCTGACTTTTATACTTTTTTTTTTAAACTTTAGTTACACTAGGTGACACTCAGTTGGATTAAAGATGATAGATAACCTTTATTTCTACTCAATATTGTAGCTACAGACAGAGATGTTCCTCGAGTGAGATTTTCTAGTCCCTCACTCCCATTTCCTGCCTACTCACTATTCCTGGTTCAGAGGAAATCAGACTAAGCTCAGGCAGGGTGAAAGGCAGGGGGAGCACAAAATCTATTCACTTTAACTGTAACTTAAAGCCAGAACTTCCATTCCATGTAGGAAATTGCTCATTACTTATATCCTTGTTTTTACAGATCTTGGTCAAAGGTTTATTCTAGCCCCAGAGCATACTCATTTACAACACGCCTATTGTACATGGTCATTGACACTCATATCTTAAAATTTTCACAGAAGCTACCAGAGCAAATGGGTGCTAGAGAGTTCCTAATGGTAATAGGCAGCAAACGGTAATTCCCACAATAACTTCTTTGAACTAGATCACTAAAGCTAGCAACACGCATTTTTACATATTCTAGATTACCAGTGTTTCTTCGTCTTTCTTCTTAGGTGACCTTGAACAGAAATTTGAACTGGAAATCAGTCCGCTTTGTAATCAACAGAAAGATTCAATCCCTAGTATACAAATTGGTGAGTTGAATTCAGTTTTAATTTTTTTTTCAGTTTTAATTTTAAATAAGTACTTTTGTCAGCTCTGCCAGAGTCACAAAGAAAAAAAAATCTACACGCAGCCTCTGAAAGATCCAAACTGGAGGTTTAATGAATGGCTAAGTCCAAATAAACAGTCTAACCATGACTGATCTACTGGGTAATTACCAACTAAAAAACTACGAAAAATGGAGTAAAGTCTTTGTTACAGACCCTTACTAAACTGTACTAACTTTGTAGTTCAGAATCAAATCAAAACCAAATTGAGTAGAATGAAAGTCTTAAGAACCAACTATTTGCTGCTGAGAAACAGATTAGTTCGCACTGTTTAGGACTTGAAGAGTGGGAACTCGGCAGAATGAACCTTGAGGACCCTTCCAGTCTGCCCCACTACCTTTCATCCCCAACGTAATCCGAAGGCGTGTGCTCGGCAAACCATGTTATTGCTTGTAGCCCAAGGTCCCCTGCTTTTCCACTTTCCACTTCAAAACTTATTTTCAGTCTTATTCTCAAGTATCAATTGCAGTAAACTGTTCAACTGTGATGCTAATGCACCTAACATAATAATTACTTTATATTACGTGAAACTATTAAAGAAATCAAATGGTGGAAATTTCAGGCACATAGGAAATATTTTTGATACAGTATGAATTTCTATCAGTTCTTAAAATACTTTTCCAATTCCATCTATACTTAAAGCAAGTCCTTCATTTCCTTGCAGTTCCTTCCAGTTAAAGCCAAACTGAGAACTTGAACTCTTTTAGTCATAAACTAGAGCCCTGACATGTACCACTTCCCACAGACCTCAGAGAGCTTAATGCCTTCACAGAGCTACAGCCCTCTGCAAGGATTAAGGCTTAAAGCCTCTATTGGGAGGGAACAGGGCATCGGAAAAAGTTAAACTGAAAATTAAGAAAACCAGAGCAAGTTAGTCAAATAATAATATGCTTATAGTCACTACGAGTCAAATCTCATCCACAAAGAGTCATAAAGTCATCCTCTGGGAAGAGGAACAAAATTAACCTAGTTACAAAGATCTGAATGACGGATGTAAATATTAAAATAGGTATGTTGAAATTATGGGATTATTGGTGATCCATCTTTCTTCCAAATTGCCCTTAGTATTGTTGTGTTGTTTTTAAAATTAAATTGATTCTTCCACCCAAAAGAGGAAAAAGTGGGAGTGTTATAAAACAAAAACAAAAAGAACAACAAACAAACCAAAAAAAAAAAAAAAAAAAAAAAAAACCCACCAACCAAGAAGAATCCAGGGTGATGACATAGCTACAGAATCCCTGGGGGGCAGTGCAGGGAAGGGAGTAACATCAACAGAAATTCAGCCTTGGTCTCCCTGGAGCCAATCCCCCCTCCATGTTCCCTTAGTTATGGAGGTTCTGCAGATGCGATGTAAAAGGAATAGACCCTAACCAAAATCCCAACCCTGTGCCTCGCCCCCCCATTGTTAACGCTCTGGCTAGAAAGAAATTTAGCAGGCTCCTGCTAAAGACATTTTGTGAAAAGCATTCACATTGTTAAGCATACAACCTGGATTTGCAAGACAGACCTGATTTTAGAGATTCTACCCTGTTGTTGTCATGAGAACACACTTATTTTGTCAGATCATATGTCCTGGTTTTCAGCATAGGAAAATGTGGTTACCATAGATACCTGTTTTTAAAATGGGGTGGGGATTGGGTGACTAGGAAATGCTCGGGGAGGCTACGGCAGCACACCAATAAAGAGGAAGAGAAAGAGAAGGTGATGCTAAAACAACCTTTCGTACGTGAATCTTTCTTGATCTCTGTTCCACATCCCCGGGCTTTGTAGGGTCAGGGTTGGGAGGTGTGGTATGAAGGTATAGATCAGGCTAAACTGGAAAAATCCGAAGATAAAGTCTGATTGATGGGAGCTGCAGGTTTCAGCCTCCCAAACGAGGATTTTGCCAGTGGGTCCTAAGTAAGGCAGCTATGTCCTCTGCCCCGATTCCCCCGGGACTGTAACTGTCTCCTTTTTTCCTGTCCCAATCCACAGTGAGAATTTCCCCACGTGCCATCTCGGGTTTGGATCTGATTTTCTGTTTAAGTCATTCATATTCGCCCAAGTGGAAGTGGGATTTAAAATCCCTTTCCCTCTCTCCACTGAATTCTGCATTTTAGAAAGAAGATATTAGATCAAATGAATCTCTAATCGGTGAAAGCTATCGAAGGAGTAGGAGAAGGAGGCTTGCCTTTATTCCCTGTTTGCTCTGAGGCCACCATACCTCCCTTTCCCCCTCCCAGCCTTCCAGGAGGACAAAATCCAGGCAGGCAGTCCCCCCCTTGCTTAGAAGAGAGAGCTTGGCATAATGCACTGGGAATGGATGGATCAGTTTCCCAAATGTGATCGTGCAGAAGTCACTTTCATTTGAAAAAGTACCTCCTAGTGTCTACTCAGACTTCAAAATGGCCTTGCCTAATCTACTATGAGCGGTCTTTATATCGGACAAGTAGATATATGGGGGATAATTCCCCAAGAACGCCAGGAAGAAAATGAGTTGATTTTCAAGTACCAGATTTTTAAATGTTGGATTTGTAGCTTTTTGATATGAAGGTACACCTGATAAATATTTACACTTTAAACCTGAGAATAGCATCATTTTGTGAACCATCTTTCTAATATCAAATCTCTTGTACGGTGAAGGATATTAGAAATTAGATATGGAGGTTATGAAGGAAGTGAAGAAAATTCAGGAATAGTAAACAAGAAAATTCAAGGGAATCCTTACTTGTGACTCCCTATATAACCTTATCACTGGCTTAAATTTCCTCCTCAGTCAGGTTTGGGTGATCTAAAATGATCTCATACTACTTAAATCATATTTCACATACGATGAGATAATGCAGAAATGTGAAATAACACTTTGCATGCCTCCATCCTTTTTCCATCTCTGTAGCATCCTCAAAGGCCAAGCATCTGCTGTTTGTTCAATAAAAAGATAATCAAATCAAGCCTTATAATTCACAGCCTCATAAACATACATTGTCAGTTAGTGGAAAATTCATTATGCTAAAAAAACACTTTCTCCCCACACCTACATTTCAGTAAAACCTAACTATGTCCAAGTCTGTGATGATTCCAGTCATTCCAGCCTAGACTGAAAGTTGTCTTGGCTTTAATAAATCATATTTAGTATGGAAAGACCCTAACATTGAAATTAAGAGAACAGACATATCGAATATCAACCATTCTTATCTGGTCATTAACGTAGGGATTTTATACAGGTAAAAATCCCTATCAAAAATGAGTGAAGCTTCGTTTAGTTGCTTAACATAACTGAGAGTAAGACAAAGCTGTAAATCAATACTCTTGAAGAAATATCCTACAGCGTAAAACACAGGAATTCCCCATGGATCTACAGCAACCATATGCCCCTTCCTGATATCATTCCCCCTTTCCTCCTCTCCCACACCACCTCCTCAGCTCCAACACAGACTTTTTCCTACCTTTCTGTTCCGATGTCTTTCTCCCTCCGCAAATAACAGCCAAAGGTATGGAGGGTTTACTACGTGCCGGGAGCTTTCTGAGCATTTCGCCTGTGTGAAGTCATTTCCTGGTCCTAAGAAACCTAGGGGTTTGGTCCTCTTCCTAGCTCTTTTTTACAAATGAGGAAGCCGAGGCTCGAGGGGTTAAGAAACAAGCCCGGGGGGACACACCAGGTGCTCCCAAACCGAAGTTTAGGGAGCATGTCTGCTTTCGCCTCCGTATCTCTAGAGGGAGCCCAGCGGGGTCTGGGAGGGATGATGGGGGTGCAGTGGGGGTCGCGCCGCCTTCGCGGTGCTGAACTTGGCCTTGCCCGTTCTAGGTTTCATGAGCTACATCGTGGAGCCCCTTTTCCGGGAGTGGGCCCGTTTCACGGGCCCCAGCGCCCTGTCGGAGAACATGCTACGCCACCTGTCCCACAACAAAGCCCAGTGGAAGAGCCTGCTGCCCACGCCCCACAGGAGCGGCGGCGCGGAGCACGCGGGCCAGGGGACTGACAGCGACGTGCCCACTGGGACCAAAGGCGACGCCCCGTAGTCCCAGCCTGTCCGCCCCGGCTCCGCGCAGAGAGGAGAACCTCCTGGAGCAGAGGCCTCCTGAGAGGGTGGCAGCTCTTGGCCACCAGGCCAGCCACGTGCTGGGATCCGTCCCGGGCTTTTCGCAAGGCCGCCCACCTCCCACTCACCTGCCTCCTCTCCTTTTTCCAAGTGTACAGAAGCCATCCGTCACCTCAGCATTCGCTGCCGGAATAAGCAACTCCATTCAGGAACGTGGGCGCCGATCTCGGGGGGGATGAGGGGGTCAGGTTCGCCCCTCCAGGAGAAGACTGGGGAGTAAGAAAGAGGTGCTCCTGCCATGTCCTCCTCGGGCCCCGGGTCACACTGTGACAGGCGACGGTGGCTGAGTCCAGAGCAGTTTTTTGTTTGTTTTCGGGTTTTTTTTAGCGTTTGCCATCTGACTGCTGATCTGCATGACAAAAACACCAGCATACTCGGACCTCCAAGGAGATGGGTCTTAGGTGCCAGAGCACAAATGAGAACGTGAGAGAAAGGACCTTCTATTTTAATAATAATTATTATTATAAAAATAATAATAAATCTTTTTAACTTTTATATTTTATGCACTAGACAATGGATCTAAAACTTTGGACTAGGATTACTCAATGTACCCAATCTTGAACAGGGGGTTCATTGTTTTGTTACTGACTTGATGCCACTTGGGGTCAGAGATTTGGCATCTGTTCAATTTAAGAAACCACGTTTCCTATCCGATCCGAGGGGAAGGTGCTGTACAGTTCATTCCTTCGCACCATTAGCCGATCTGTCTTTTATCTACAACTCAGATTCCGTGACATGTTTATATGCACACGTGTACATTTTCTGTAAATACCAAGCGCTACTGATTCCCATGCCAAAATACATGAGTATTATGGGATTGCTACCTGTATCAATAATGGCACTGTGAACAGAATACTGTTAGTTTTCATACAAGAGAATGCGTTTGTAAATCTGGTGTAGAGTTTATTAATATACTATTGTTTGCAGATAAAGGCCTTAACTTTAAACATCTTTCATCTTCTGAAAGCTGCCCGACTTAAATCCTCACAGATGTCCTTCTGAACTGCCTTCCCATGCCCATCTTTGTGCTTTCCAGCTAAGGTCACAAACCAAAACTGACTAAAGTCTTTGAGGAAATATTCTGGAAACTTCACACGCATTCCGCTTGAGACCATAGTGTTTTTATCTATGGCACCAAGCATCGTTTCCTCAGATTAATGGGACCTTCCAACAAGCCTGAAGTCACTTTTCAACACAGCAATGTTGCACACTGTTTTAACAAGCCAGCTGATAAGCTCGTGTTTATGTGACCCTTGTCTTGGACCGTGGCGATGTGTCAACCTCGCAGGAGACACGGCAGGTCTCACAAACCTTCTATGACCCTGTCATCTAACCATCAGGGAACTCCCTGCTCTCCCACCACACTTTGTTTGTTATGGCTACAGTACCAAAGCACCGTTGGTTTATGGTTGGCGTGCATTTCTTTGGCGTTAACAGTAACTGGATTTTTCTTTTTCCTTAATTTCGTGTGAACAACTACTCAATTATCTAGCTGAAGTTAACATTATTGAAGTCAAGAAAACATTTCCGTTTTGCGACTGAATTTACCTTCCTGGCAGGTCCTCGTGATTCATTAAGGTTCTCGCTAACAGAGTCACCTTGGAATCTGGTTGGTCATTTTTCTCGGCAGACTCTTGGTCGGAAAATCAGTTTGTTACCACATCCTTCTCTGGTGACTGAGTTCTGCGCATTCAACCTTTTCTTTCAAAGTTCTAACTTAAATGATGTTACACGAAAATTGGCATGTCCCTTTCTTCTTACCTTAAATAATGTTGTAGTGGGAGAATGAGAATACGATCATTTCTGCCACTATCGAGCTGTTTTGCAAGCTGACAAACTGACAGCTAACTCTCGTTTCCTACTTGCAACTCTCGTGGGTTTTCTCCCCTCCTAACATACAAATGAAATGTTGGAAACTCAATGGTTTGTACTAAGTTTCTGTAGAGACACTGAGGCTTGCCGAGTGAGGGTTTAGGGGACATTTTGGAAAGTTGGTTATATTTTCATTGAAGTAGGAGAGATTGTCAGATGGTACGAAAGAAAGTGTGAAAAACCTCACGAAATGGGTGGATGAGAAGTTGAAATTGTTGATAGGGGTAAGAGAGAAGTTGTGAAATCTCAACACTAACTTTTTTTTTCTCTGTAATAGCTATGAACTGACACAGGATTCTTTGTTGCTTTAATCCTCTGGAGCTCTCAGCTTGGTGAGGCCTCAAAAGAGAAAATGTTGAATGTATTCCTGCTTCTGAATCTCTCTTACTTTGGTCTGATGGTGCAGAGAGAGCTTTTGAGTGGTCTGTGTTTAACGTACCTGAGATCAAACGAAGAAAAGCAATTGTCAAGGATGGTACAGTGGAGAAAAGAGAAGATGCTATTTGAGCGAATGGGACCTCTGTCTTGGGTTTAAGAAATGGACTTTGTTTAAATTATATTTATATTGTAACTTAAATAAGTAAGGTTGGAGGCATTTTTAGTAGTTCCAATTCATAGGACAGAAGTCCATGTTACAATTAGGTCTTAAAGAAGAGCTCACAGAGAAAACCACCAGATATCCGAGTATGATGCAGCTACTAGTACAATCCAGATTTGAAGTAGAAGGAGACATGATGCATAAACTAGATGCATTTTTGTCCTTCTTTCAACCATCTGGAGTTTTCTTGAGTTCCTTGCTTTTTGGCAAAAAAAGGAAAAAAAAAAAAAGGAAAGAGAATGTGAAAACTTTTTTTTTTTTTCCTGCCTAGTAGTGGCTCCATTTAGATAGAGGAGTTCATTGCTAGTTCAGACACAGCTGTTCGATCAAGCATGGATTTTATCTTTATATTCTCCTCCTGGTCCATGGACCACCAATAGTTGACTTACCAAGTTTAATTCTGTCATTACTTGAGAAGAAAGGAATCAAAGGGCTATTTTTATAAGCAAAACAGAGTTCAGATCAAATTAAGAGAGAGAGAATATATATCACTGCCAGGTCTGATTGTCAAAGCCTGCTTTTCCTTTAAGAGAACCCGTGAATACGCAGAAACTTGTTCATGAAGCCCTAACCTACTCGAACTCCTCCAGGCTGAGTAAAAATCCAGCTCTCTTTCCACCTGCTTAAGGCTTCCCACAAAGGCATTTGGAGCGTGTCCGGCGACACTGTCTTCAGATAGTGCTTCCTACAAAACACAGACTTGTTTTGTAATCTTTTCTCTTGTTGAATCAGATCTGCTCACTGATTTGAATTTGGTTATGAGCTTGTGTCTCACTGTATTTCTTATGTTCTGTTCTTTTAAGCAAACCCTTAAAATTGTGTTGTTTTGTGTACACATGTGAGATTTGGAAAACAAACAAACAAACACCTTGTGGGTTTTGCTCAAAATGTGGCCTAAATATCCATTGGCATGTCTAGATCAACGATTGAAAATAAAGATAATTTCCTAAAAACATCAAAGCTTGAAAATATACTGATTCTCACCAGGTAACATGTTATCAGCAAAACAATCAGATTCAACAATGAAGGCCAACTGTTCAGGAGAGGAAACTTGCAAGGGAAAAATGCACAGATTCAGACATGGTCTTCATGTGACTCATCCTCCTTGGGGCTGCAGAAACAGCCCTGTCCATGAAGGCATCACCTGCCAGTTAGTCTCAAGTTCAGGAAAGAGGGCTCTCTTTCTCCCACCATGCAGTTCTACACTTCCCCTGAGTCCTGATATTTTTCTGTTTCACATTTGTCGAACTCATATATGAGTGAGAATGAGGTACAATGGATTAGGTTGTAAAGACAAAGTTGACTTCATTAAATAATTACCTGTGAAAAATATGGTCTTGCAGATTTCAGGACTAGAAACCATCAAGAACAATAGAACAGTTCAGGAAGGACAACTGAGTGTCCTAAACCCATCTAGAAATAGAGGAGAAAAAAACCACTACCCTTGCTTCCCAGAAACAACCTTGTATCTGCGTGGTCTCTTCATGTCCCTTTTTATTAAGATTAGATACAGAATCTCACCCCCTTCAGGCTTCCCTGTGTCTGAAAACAAAGCCACTTTTTCATGTGTGGATATTTGATATCATAAGATCAAAATCAAAATTGAGAACCCAGTGGTTTTCCAAGTAACAGTCAGACATGATCTTCAAATGGCCCCAAGAACCTAGCTGAGACATTGTGCACTAAGTCAAGCCTATGTGAGTAATTTAATTTCAATTCCACAAATATTGATTGAGGATCTACTATGTGCCAGAGGTTGCACTAGATACTTGAGATATAAAAAGACTCCATTTCTCCAGGAGAAATCAGACTGTGTCAGAGACTAACACGGCCAGTGAATGCTTCTTAGAGAATCCGTGAGAACAACTGTAAGGCCTCAGCTGCCTATAAAGCTCTCTCCCCGAGTACAACATAACAGAACATAGATAAGCTTGGAGACTGTAGGGGCCAAGGGCAGGCTGCCCCAAAATGTGCCGTGTCAGCATATTGAATATTTTAAATAAAAGTTACTTACGTGACAGCCTATGTAAGAAGGATACTCAGACCATCCTCTGTCCCCCTGAAAGCAGGAACTAAATCTCCCATGTGTAAAGGTAGCCTCCTGTACCAAAAGGTAAAGATATCCTTGTCACCAAAGATGGGAAATTTAGAGCCAAGAAGGCTGTGTAAACAACTTTTCACACTCTACTAATTTGCTACTCCAGCCCAAATTCTGCTTAGCATTCTTTACTAATTGAAGCTTCCAAAATTGAGTTTTCTTCATCTTGTCAATTCCTCCCAACCTATTGTCTTTATGTAAAGAGTGTAAAACTGCCAGCCTTGGTCATTTCTTTAGGTCTCAGTTTCATTATTGGGCCTCCATGGGCACATCATCAAATTTTGGGTTTTTCTCCTGTTAATCTGTCTCATGTATATGTAATTCTTAGTTCAACTAGAAAAACCTGGGACTGAGGAATATTTCTTCCTCTCCTTCAAGATAATAGTGGGTCCCAATCTTGATTCAGTCACTAAATTATTCTGAGACTTCAGGGAAGATACTGAACATCTATAAAATTATTTCCAGACAGGGGCACCTGGGTGGCTCAGCTGGTTGGGCATCCAACTCTTAATCTCAGCTTAGGTCTTGATCTCAAGCCCTAAGATCATGAGTTCAAGCCCCATGCTGGGCCCCACACTGGGTGTGGAGTCTACTTAAAAAAAAAAAATGTATTTCCAGATAGTAATATCTTTCATGGTATTGTTGTGGCAATTAAAAAAGACCAAATACAAAAAGCACCAACCGAATATTCTGTCTAGTATGTGGTAGGCTTTTCAAGAGATGCAAGTTCTCTCCTCATCAATGACAAGAAGTTTGGCAAACAGCCATTCACACATGAGTAAGTATGTGAAGAATATATGGGGGGGCGGGAATGCAGTGAAGAAAAGCTGGTGATTTTATGTTAGGAAGTCAAACTCATTTTCATATTTTTTCAAAACAGTTGATTAACTTATATATTTATTTATTTGCAATGTGGGATAAAATGATTACCCCTTCAATCTGTTCCTCAAATGAAAGCTCTGTCTCAGCTGCCCATGACCTTAGCTTAGCTTTCTATACTCTAGGATGGAAGATAGTGGATCTTCTGTTTGCTGTTCTGTCCGAAATTTCTGTGAAGGAAACAGGTCCTAAAAACAAAAGAAGAATCATTTATCTCCTTTGCATATGCTCTACTTCTGGCTGGTGATGGCTCTGTTCTTCTGAGTCCGGCCCTGAAAGCTTCGTTGCTTTTTCGTAGGCTCCACTGTGGGTGGAAGTTGGTGCCTCCCAGACACACACCACTCATATTTCCAGACGCGTTCTCAGCCAGTCCTCACCATCTGTCCCACAGCAGGACCAAAAGCAGAGGCACTCCTCAAGTAACATGCCGTCAGAGAAAGGAGAAGACACAGTCCTGCCTCCATGAGAATGTAATGGACATTTGAGCAATGACTACCCAGGGAGCTTTTAGCTACAGAACAGTCCATGACAGGATTTTTTTTTTTTTTTTCAAACTAAGCCGGAGAGATATTAGAAAAATTTTAAGTTTTAGCTGATAGGATTTGAAGATGCATTATTGCCTTGTCTCAGTTGTCTAAGCAACGATGTGTCTTGGATTCAATTGCCTGGAATGTTTTAAGTTCTAGTATGGCAAGATTTAATCTTTAGTAATTTTTTTCCCTCTTTTAAGGAGACAATGCTTAGAGTTTTAAAAGTGTGGGCACTGAGGTCAACAGACCAGAATTCAAATCCCTTGTTATTACTTGCTGCTTAACTCAGGCTGATAATTTGTTTGATCTCTCTGAGCCTCCATTTCCTCACGTGTAAAATGAGAGTAACACCTACCTTCCAGGGTGGTTGTGACGTCAAAACTAGAAAACATATATAAAACATACAGCATGA